TATATATAAGAATAAGTGTAATATATTATATATATTTCTATAAATCATATATTTTAGGAATGTAAAACACATATCTTTTTTAAAAATATGACAACAATAATTATTTTATCATCAAATGCTAAAATAATATCTTACTTCTAAACACTTTTATTATATAAATGCTCCTATTATTATCCATGCCCATATTAATATTAATGTAGATAAATATTTATCTATAAATATAAAACTTTATCAAAAGTTATCTCTCTGCATGAAATTAGGAATAGTATAACAATGTAGAAAATGCTTGATAAAGTATAATTGCAAATCCCACAAAGAAAACTATCGCTCTTGTAGGTTGTTGCTTCATTATAACGTACGCAATGGTATGAAATATTCGGGCAAGTACAAATGTTCGTATCAACATTTTAGCTAACCATGGTGAAGGTCCAGTACCTAACCACAAATATGTGATTACGAACCATGGCAGAATATTCTCCAGATCGTTCAAATGAGCCCTTCGTACACGCTCCACATCTGCATCATTGTATGACACTTTGGTTCCAGGTAAAAATGTAGTATCTTCTTCACTTAAAAATATCTGTAATTATCACAAATTAATTTTATTCTGTGTTTAGAGCTTAACATTATACAAATTTTAAAACAGAATATAATAACATCTATTTTTCTTCCGTAACTAAATTAAGGAATAAGCTCAAGAAAAATATATTTATACTACTTTTTAATATTATATAAGAGAGAATATATATTATATTTTTATATAAATTGTACTGTTTTATTTAGAATAATATAGTAACACAATTTATTGCAAACTTATTAAAAATTGTATGTTTATTAAATAAGAATATATATATCAAAAATAATTTGCAGAAGAGAGATTCCGGCATTTTACATATGTTTTATTGATTACCTTCTTTCTAAATCGCTGACGTGCAGTCAACGGCACTATGGCCAGCATTTTTAGGACCAATACGCTACCCCAAAAACCGAACACCTGAAGCAATTCTGAACTTATTTCAACCATTTCTTTTTTCGTTTAGACACGTCTTGAAAAGTATTGCTCTTCGAATGTAATATGGACGACTTTGGATCTGAACTCTGGATCACGTTTCGTACTAATCTAATAAAAGGCAGACTCCAGACTGAGACGCAATCTCATTCGCAACCAACACTACGCAGTACATTCAAGATGTGATACGTACTTTCTGCCTCCCGTTCCCACTATACGTACTTCGATGACCTTTATAACCTCTAAGTCTGTATGAGATAAAAAAAGATAATGAATAATGCGTATAACTATATATAATTTAAAAAAAAGGTAATTATTTGCATGAAAGAACATTTTGAAATAATCTTAGAAGGATAATGATGATGAATTGTTAAAAATCGAGATAGACAGAATGGAAATAATTTTTTTATCTTTCGCTCATTTATTTATTAGCAGAATTATCTCGAAATATTTCCTGATATTGCATGATCACATGCATCTATATGTTATATAATTCCAATTGTTTATGAGATTGATATTGTCATGTTGACAATATTACAATTGTTCATTGATCATTGATCACATTAATCCATAGGACAGCAATATGTGATTAATCAATATAATTGATTATTTGCGATATATAAAAATCTGTATAATAGGAGTCCATGGCCATAAGTTTTATTTTTAGATAAGCGAGATATTAAATAATTTTTCTGATAGCATAGAAACGCGCTATATTTCGGAATTGAAATATTAATCTATATTTCCAATGATTAAATTTTTTGTTTCAAATACAGCATTTTAAATGTATTCCATCTAATGAATTATTTAGTGTTTACGACACAGGATCTCTCATTAAAGACTTGTTATAAAACTGCAATGACTTGCAATAAAATTCTTACATGTGATTTTCAATATATTACGTTTAGCGTTTTATAATATACTACATTCGAAATGAAATAAATATATATCTTTAGGCTTCATCGAAAGACAAAAAAAAACTGTGCAATTAGAGAGGAAACTTACAAACGACGTGAGATAAATATAAGCGTTGCAAAAAAACAGATGAATTAAAATAAATCGACAATTATTCTTTGTACAAAGTTAAATTTCTAATCTTCGATAACAAGAAATAAGAGAATGTTTTTATATTCCTTCTCGAATGACACGTTAATCTTTCGTAAATATTTGGTTGGAGGTTAGAACTCGTGTCACGTATTCTTTTCGATCTATTAGTGCCGGTCTACAATAGTGATTTAAGCTCTAAGCCTTAAGAAATTGACTAATCACAGTCGAGTATTCTCCTCATACTTGATCGTGATTGGTCAATTTCTTAAGGCTTAGAGCTTAAATCACTATTGTAGACCGACACTTAACCTAATGGAAGATTTACACTATCTCGAATATTCAAGTCTGATGTTCAACAGAAAGTGTGAATTTTACTAGACATTATTGTCCCTAGAAAACGAACTCTCCTATTGGTTATCACATATCGTACATCGAATGCAATGATTCCTCCATAATTTTAATCCTAGGGCGTTTTCCAGCAAGAAAACACTAGTGGACATAATGTTACGCAGTTGGCTATCAAATAGAGAATTTTTGAAGTATCGAAAAATTTCTATGGCTCAATCATTGGCCGTGTTCCGATATTCACTGCCAGTACTGAAAATCTATAGTATATGTGACGTAAACTATAGATTTTCAGTGCTGGCAGTAAATATCGGAACACGGCCATTGTTGTCCAAAAGCAGCCACGAGTCGCGTTCATGTCGCATAATCTACCGCGTGAGTGGCTGGGTTTATTGATAATTCCAACTAATCATTACTTAGAACACTTTATATCCGTTGGAAACGCTCCATTCCTCTTCGTCATCTGCGAGGTGAATGTTCTAATATTATCGAAGAAGATTCTCGAAGCGACCACGTGCAAGGTAATGAAAGCTGCTGTGGTCGGCCAGTGGTAGAGTCACTCGAACCAATCCTCTCGAGTCGCCATTTTAAGTTAGTTTGAGAGTTGTTTAATAAATAAAATTAATACCATCTACTATTTTTTGAGTAAACAGATCATTATACAATTATTGTCAAGTACATTAAGAAAAAAAAAAAAATGGAATTTTGAATATGATACAAGTATCGATATTTATTTCATATCTTATTTGAACATTCTCGTGTTTGTCTAAAAATTGCACCGTTTTCTTTTTTTCCTATTTTCATTTGATTTTTTTCTTTGTTTTCACTGTATAAGCGATATGCGGATCGAATACGCATCGGACTCGCTTGAAAGATATTAGTGTCGCGCGGCTGTCAAAGTTGGCGTTTAAATCGAGCGACTCTAGCCGAAGCCGAGCCGAAGTGCGCGTGCGCAGATCGCTGACGCAGGGAGTACGTCAGCTGTTTTGTTAGGCTCTCGCTGAGGAGACGTGCGTGTGCGTCCGTCAGCGTTAGAGGAATGGTGTTGTATTGTTGACTTGGTGGGGCATCCTTCTCTCGCGCAACTTGCGTCGTTGTACGGTAACGGACGCGCTCCTTTGTTCGTCGTGTAACGCGCCCGTGAGAAAGACTTGCGTGAACGATTCTGCGTGCGACGAGAGAATCGCGAAACGCGCGCGCGTGTGTAATCGCGCGTTTACCCGTATTGTGTGCGTC